CCAGTACTGATTTAAAACCATTCTGAGAATAATTCATTTCAAAAATTTCCTAGTTTTTATATTTTCTAATTAAATAATTGAAAAATGTACTAAAATAAATGCTTTATAAAAATAATATATAAATAATTTTGGCTTTTTATAATAAAAGATAAATTGTTTAATTAAAAATATTTTAGTAATTTCGATTATATTAACTTTTTAAGAATATATTTTTATTCATTTATGAAAAATAGCACTGAAAATAGCAAATAAATGTATACCCATCAAAATTTGATAATTGTGCTTATCAATAATCTTCTGAAATAAAAAATAAAGATTTTGATATTTAATTTTATTCCAGAAAATTTGCAAGTAACACTTATTGTAGTTAGTACCAGCTGCATACGGTGGGACATGGCGGGATGAGAGTGGTTATGCGGAATATCCAGAATATGTATGCCAATCACCAGTAAAAATATTACCACAACATTATTACGATCAAGATTTACTGTGGCAAAAACATGGTTTCACTAAACTTCCATTACTCAATTTCGAGAACATCAAAGCAATGAAAACTTTTGAAATTAAAAAGTTCGTCAATTATTAATTCTTGAATAACAGCATATTGAATATCATAAGTAAAAAAAATCGAAGTTATAATTATTTAATGAATAACTAATTTAACAATTTTATACGATTCATTAGTCCTATGCCTACTTTTTCAGAACCTGTAAATCAAACATGCAAACTTTACTGTGGCACTTTACAGTAAGCAGTGATGTCGAATTTTCGATAGTTAAGATTGATCAGGATGGTAATGAAGCAATAGCATGGCCTAAGATAACACTTATGAGTTTGAAAGCACCAGAACAAGGATCAATTACTTGCAATCCTGGAGAATACGTAATTCGTTTCACGAATCCAAGTAGATTTTGGCTACCTGTGAAACTTTACTTTGTCGTCTCGCTTTGTCCAAAAAATGTTTAGTCAGATTATATTTGCTTGCCTCTTTTTGGGCACATAAAATTAGCACCTAAATCAGTTTGATCAATTAATACAATATCATGTTCAATTACTGTCATCGCTTAAACTATAAGATTACTGAATAACCTTCACACATTCTGCTACTTATCTAGCTTCAATCACCATTTCATAAATAATTAAGATTCTTGACAACACATTGATACCCTTAATGATAGAATCCTCGATTCCCTGATGTATAGAAAAAATATGCAAAAACATTTTGGAGGCAATCAGTATTATTTATATAATGTTAACAGTAATTACGGATATAACAAATTCAATGTACAAAACAATCACCAAGTAAAAATGACTGGCTTATAAACAGTTTGCTTAACCGTACCGATAAATAATGCATAAATCAACAATAATCACCAGAACATTATCTTCACAATACCTAGTAGAAAAAGTTTTATGTGAGGTATTATTTCAAACAATATGATTTTTGTAAACGATAATTACAAGCTACAATTGATAGAATTTGAACAACTACGGTTAAACAGCAAACCAAATTCAATTCGAAGTTAAGAGTGTGTAAAAGTAGCAGTACTGCTTGAATAAATTACTCAATCGCTTGCATCTGAAATTCTCTCATTAATACGACCAACAGATATATTTGCGCCACGACGTTTGCTTTCTTTCTTCGCTCTGCGATGCAGATATTTTTCCAATTTCTTTCCACCTTTCAGTTCTTCAGATTTTTTTTCCCACAGAAGTTGCCGAATTTGAGCTGCAAATATCGACAATTTTGTCCCACTTATTTAGAACTAATAATATAATCTGACAAAAATTTTTAACTTCTGCAAGGGTTTTTTAAAAATTTTAATGCAATAAAAGCACAAACAAAAATGTTATTTTTGATTACATAAAGGAAGCAAATGTAAGTTTAAGCCTAAACTTAATGTAAAATAAAATTTTAAGGTTTTTCAACCTCGTGTTTTGTAAATTGGAGGCAGTCCTTTCTGCATCCGCTCGATATTTTCGTGACGTATTTCACGTATTACTTGTTTGCGACGTTCCACATCTTCTTTAGTTCTGAAACGAATGAGATATGATAGAAAAAGCTCTTCAAAATGTTAAAATTTGTATTCATAAATAATAAAAGTCCAAAAATGAAGAATGAACTGACAGATAATAATAGTTAATAAACTACTCCGCAATTTGTTGAAACACTGGTTAAAAAAGTATAAGAGGTAACAGTGCCATAAACGACAAATTCATACCACAAAAATATTTTAAGCAAGTTTTAACAACACTGAAAGTTTTATGCTAACTTTTCTCGGTTTTTCATGTTTTTGAGCGTTTCCTTCAAATGGTCTAGATCACCACCACCTTCTCGCTTCACTCTTTTTAATTCCTCGATTAATATCTAAAAGTGAAATTGCCCGCGATGAAAAACGAAGTATCATTTTTATAACACCCATATTTTAGCATTCATCAGTAAATAATTCAATTAACTTGCATATTCATACTGATCTCTCAACCTTCTTTGATTTTAAGAGAACTGAAATGTCTGGCTGGGACAATTGTGATTACTAGTAACACAAAAAATTCAGTCATAAATGAATAAAAATTAATCCAAACAAAAAATTCAGCAGTAAAGGACAAACTTTCTTTTCTTGTTGACGAATATCATTCAGAAAATCATAATTATTGTGATAGATGTAATCATTGAATTCGCCACAACGATCATCAAATCGTGGATCTAGTCTAAAAGATATGAACACACGAATGTAAAACCAGAATTAAAAGTAAAATCCTAATAAAAGAAAAAATTTTTTACCAGCTCATTCTTTCAAACCGATAGTTAAACTTCCGAAAATATAATAAAACGTATCATACTTGTAAAGCTCATATCATAATATAAAGGAAATTTATCATACTGCTAAAATCAAAAAGTTTCAAAAGAACCACAAGATTAAAAATATTTGTGATCATTACATCGGTCGTCCCAACTTTTCATTCTGAAATACGTTCCTGAACTTGGATACCGGAATTTTCGATGAAACTTCTCGTGGGCGTTTGGAGTTTTCGCGCTAGAAATTTGACAGATGTCATCTTTAAGTCTTTTTCTATAATTTGTAATTTGACATGAATTCATCTAGTGATCCACTGTCTAGAAAATAATTTATAGTTCATTTTTCAGTAATTATAATTTTGATTCTGGAATTCTAACACAATAAAATTATTCACACTTTCATTCAATTAGTATTCCATTATAATCAATCACAATAAATTCTCATCTAGAGATAATAGAAAAATGATTAAAACAAATATGATACTACCGTGAAGGTCCTTCGCGCTGTCTGTTTACTGGAGCTACATATTGAACTCTCACCGAAAAACGCTTTATCAAATAACTTTTGCCCAAGTTTTTCTTGCAGCTGTTTCGCTTTACACAGTGGTACATTGGCTATCTCTGAAATGTAAAATACGAAAATATAACGTATTTATCGCTCTAAAATTCATCTGACGATAGTATTTCCAACAACGTCAGCAGATATAAAAGCACCTCTGACTAAAAAAATTGTAGCAATAGAAAGTCTGCGGCTCTTATTTTTTCAAAATCTGAAGAACTACCTTCACGAAACTGAACAATATCTAATTCAGCTTTGCAATGTTCCGAATTAAAGTCTGAAACGAGCGAATCCTTATCGTGTTCTTCATGCTTTACATATTCTAGTTTTTCTTCATCTGAGGATTCATCGACGTCTTTCAGCGGTTTTTGACTAGAAGTAAATTTATTATATTTATGACAACTATACCGACAATCTTTATATTCGCCAGGCAAACTTTGCAATTCCTTGTTAAAAATCAATTTCGATGCGAAAAAATGAAAGCCAAAATGACTAACTTTTTGTCAGAATCACCGTCTTCCAAAATATTTTTTTCTAGTTTGGACACATATGATATCTGATACCTTCCACGTTTTGATGCTTCGTTATCTAACCTTTGTTTGTTTCTATTTAACCTGAATTATGGACCAAATAAAAAACAATTTTTAAACCATTCAAACAATGATTTCTAATCTTGACAAATATATTACATACATAACATATTCCAACATTAAATGCATATCAATGTCCAATTAAAAAATTTTATTTCAAATTTTAGAAATAAAATTGAACTTGCAGGAACCAAACATCATACAGAAAAGAGTGAAAAATGACAATTCTATAAACATATCAATGACATGAATCACCATATTTAAATTTATATGATCCTCCAAAAGCTGAGCATATTTTATAGTCTCGCTTGAACAATGACTTGTACTTTCTCAACTAAACAAACTTCCAGAATCTTTTAAGCATCCTGAAGTGTTTTAAAATCAAAATGTCTAACTTTGATCAAATTGTTACTGATACTAGAACTATTAATACTTCGGAAATAAATCTGAAGCTCACACAATTCACAGCAACTAAATTCACCACTCTATACTACTTTTCATTTCGACATCGACTGAATACATCTATTCAACATTTTAAAAAAGCAACCCAAATGCAAACATTTTTTAAACTCCAATCCCTACCATGTTTTTTGTGGCACTTCAAATTCAGCTACAATGTCACTGACTTCTTGAGATACGTTATCGAAACTGATACGACTAACATGATCATGTAAAGTTTGTACTTCGGTTCGACCGCCATCAGCATTGTTACTATTTGCATGAGAGTTCAAAAATCTTTGATTCTGTTTCTTAGGTGAATGAAATCTTCCTCGTCCACTACTTCTCCGGAATAACATGCTGGTTCCTGTCTTTTGTGGAAATGTTCGTGTCACTGCGGGCATTCTACCTTCCATAACAATTCCTTACAATAAAAATTGTATAGTGCCGTTACTTACTAGAAAAGTTTCGATGGCATCAGGAATCTCAGCCTTATTATTTCACTGACAGACCATATACTTTTGTAATACAAAAGCCAATGATTCAGAGGCTAAAAGATATTTTGCGAACAATCATTTTTCGGATATGAATATGATGTACGATTTTAGGATCCCATTTCATATTTTGACAAAATTATATCTTGCTAGTCATTAAACAAAATTATGAATGTGTTAAAATATAAAAGATAAATAACAATTACGAATAAGTCCAGATACGTGTTATAATATTTTATTTACACGTCTCACTTATAATATAAAAAACCAAAAACATTAAAAAAATGCAGGTTCTTCATCAAGCATTTTTAATAAAAGCAGTACTAACATTATGCAAGAAATAACAAGACAAATATGGAAAGCAATCTAAACAAAAACATTCTTCAAGAAAAGCATTAGAAAAATACAAAGATATGAATTATAATCTTACACAAAAGTATTACTGATTAAAAAAACTATGTCAGGCTACGTAAACTATGAACAATTATCTTTAATTAAGTAGTATTCTCTTACAAACAGATGAACTGCCAAGGATTATTAAAATAAAACAATTTGGCATGAAATTACGAGTATATTCTGTAACATAGTCACAAAATAAGCGGCGAACACAATATTTATGTAAATATTAACAAATTACGATCGCAACTTGCATTCTCATAAAAATATGGAAAACATGTAAATATTTATAAACAAATATCAAAATTTTGAAAATAGAAAATAAGTGGTCACAAAATATGAAATTTTTATGCATAAAAAATTTTAAACAAGCAGTAGCAGAAAAATAAGTTTCTATATAATGAGCAAGTAATATTTACATAGAAAACATCACCCGTTACAATAACTTTGCATTATCAGATCAAAATTAAAATAGTTGACCTCAGGAGAAAGTGAAAGTTTTCTCTAATGAATACTATACTTAAAAATGTAGTTTGGGATGTGCCACAAGTCCAATTTTAAACGCTTACTGCTTAAGTACGGACATTTAAAGAAATTAATTACTATCAACAGCCAACTCAATTGAAGTACATGTACAGAATATGGTTTATAGCAAATATTCAAAAATTAAAAGTTAGAAAAAAAATTCTACTTACACAGTTTATAACTATAAAATGCAATTTATACTTGGGAGCAGAATTTTGAGTATGAAAAAGTGGAGTTCATAATTCAAACATCTAAAATATTGTCCGATAATCCAGGAAGTAGAGGATCATCAATATGATCTTTTAGTAAAGGTTCATTACCAGCTTGGGTAGCAAACGAAACTGGACACTTTGTAATGACGCTTTGAGATGGCACGTCCCAAATATCACCAACTGCTTCCATCGTTATGTTTTCCAAACCAAGGATTTTAGAACTAGCTGCTGCCGTTGTTGCAACAAATGGAGAGATCTGTGATGAATGCGAACGCGCAAAAGTTATCTGAGGAGATGCTGCTTCAAGATTATGGCTTTCACAATGAGCATGTAAATTACGCAGATAAGCAATACTCAAAGCAACCATCTGTGGTGTAATATCCATATCAATTATTTCGCCGTTTTCTGGAAAGAATACTTAATATTTCAGCAGAAACTATTAGTGAAAAAATAAATATTCGTTCCAAGAAAGTTTTCAATAGTAAACAAAACTTTCAACATGAATATATAAGTCAAAAATAAGAATTAATTTGATCTCCCTTCCCATTGTAACCATTAGAATTTAGATTAGTACTTCAGCTCACCGTGAAAAAATAAGCGAGATGGTGTACCTAAGAAATCAGAATCATACAATGATGCAATAAAAGGCTGATAACTTCTTAGCTTTCTCCAACGTTGCTGCTCCATATGAATAAAAGGATGAACTGAATGTATGCTTTCTAACAACATGTTATTATCGACATTACCATTTCTCAATGTATTCATATCATGCTCCATCTGCAACAAATTGTGGATTCTAATAAATAACAATTTTTCGGTCATTAACTTCATGTAGAAATATAGCGATGATTTCTAAATAATCTTTTTGTATATAATTAGCTATTACAATATACCGAGCAAAATAAAAGTTGAAACATACACGATTTCGTATATCATCCAGAAATCGAGCAGCAAGAGCTGGAGGCTTCCATTGCGGATGATTACTGACAAAATTTATTAATGAAAGTTCTATTTTACCGTCATTTGCTTGAACCTTTGGACTCATTTTCGGTGTTTCTACAAGTATTAGACAAATATTAAATAAAAAAATAAAATAAGACCTGCAGTATGATAGAAAAAATAGTGTTTTAAAAGTTCAACAACACAAATGTTTTCTGAGCTGGATCACTGTGGTTTCGATTTTCAGAAAATAATAATAATTTCAATTCATAGTTTACCATCTGCATTCACTCCATTTTCAAAACTCCAACTTGGATCTCCATGTTGCTTAATATCCATTTGAGCAAAAGAACAAACATCTCCAAGACCTTCAACAGAAATGGTGAAGTTATGGAAGAAATTGACAAGTTCCTTTGCTTTAGGTCGAATCCTGTAAAAAGTTTTTTGTGACACATTTCATTTACGCAGGAAGAATTCGAATTCTAAAAATCAGGACCATATCTTCTTTCGCAATCTCGTAATATTTGCGTCTGCTTTTGTCGGTAATATTGTATATAGCTAACTTCCAGCTGCTACGAGCTGATAAAAGGAACAAATATAATTATTTCAATTTAAATAAGCCTCATTTTGTGAGTAATAGTAGCCGCCAGAGATGTATGTTTGCTCTTTCTTCTGTTCTCCTCACCTTTATAATTACTGCTCAGCGTTCTTAAACAATGCCTTGTGAACGGTGAGTTCATTAAATGAAGACTCCATTTTTAATAGGATATCAACTGATAGCAGTTTTTTACTCTTCTCCAGACTTGACTTGGTTTCTCTTATCACAACATATTAATTCGTTCCTATACAATTACTAAATTTTTTATAAAACTTACCAAAAAAGTAGAACAAGCGGAGTTAGGAAAGGACTCAGCAGTTCTTTAAGCAAAAACTGAGCTTTTAGTTCGAATAAATGACTGAATTCTTTTCGAACAGTGGCTAAAACAAGTGCTATATTAGTATTATCTACATCATGGATTCTTGAAATTAGTTTAATTGATTTACAAACAGAGGTATTCAAATCTTTCGGATACAAGAATGTCAAACTATGTGTTTAATATCACTTTTCGATGCCTAGTAAAAGCATAAAGAAGCTACCTGTATGAGCTTTTCCTTTCCAGGAATCAGGTGCATAGTGTATTTGTGAAATGACCATAGTCAGCAAAGTTTCAGGACAGTAAACCACGTTTTCATCTCTTGTGAAGCCTTGACATATTACGGCAGTCAAACCACTAACAGATATTACAGTCAGCACGTGTTCAATCTAAAAATAGTGCTTTACTATTTGATGAAATTGGATAAGCCACATGATGCATCATCACATATTGAAATATAGACTGATTTGTTTTAATGTGCAGCAGTGAAATGCTACCTTGTGAGTAGGAATGAAAAAATATTCTACTCTTGAGTAATGTTTTAAAACTATTCACAGAAAGAGACAACGAATCGTTCATGCAAAAAAAGTTAATAGTCTGCGTTTCTATGCTAAATCAAATCATTTGCTAGAACATTTATAGATATAAAAAGCAACAAAATAAAATATTTATGCTAACCGTCAATACATCTTCATCCCAAAGACCAAGCCCAACCAATACAACAAAAACGGCACTTGCAACGAACTGCACCTTTCTGGCAATAACATGACCAAGCGGTGAGATAAACTGTTCCATATACTGAGTTGCTGCACGATGACTTCTTGAGAGACGTAATCGTAATTCATGATCTAACTCATTAAAATGCCGCAATTTACTTCTGAAATGAAACAGGTGATGATTCTATTGCACTTACTTACAAAAGAGTTAAAACCTAGTTTTAAAAGGGATAGAATAAAATCCAGCTCAAAAAAGACAGCTGAAATATGAAACTAAAAGTCTGAGAACAACTAATGTTGCGAATTTCCTACAAATGATACAATTACCTTCCAAAATTCGAGTACCTTCGCATAGTAAACGAACTAGGATCTCTTTTCAAGAGCTCACCATAGGTAAAGAAGAAGTAAAGTACTTGGTAAATGAATACGAGAGGAGAGAAAATGAAATTACCAATAGCCATCTTTAGTATTCCTGACTCCAGTTCATTTGCTAGAAAAAATATAGTAGCCATAGTTCCTTCATTAGAGATATTTTCAAACCTCATTACAATCCCTACATTATGAGAGAATTAGAATTTCAAAAAAATAAAGTGAATGATACAGCAAACAAACAAACCGTTAAAGAAAATTTGCGAATAATTTATAAGAAAAGGGGAAAATGAAGCTTCCAACTGAGTTAAAATCATGTTGCGAATTTTCTTCAACTGCCTTTATGTTTACGTTGCACTTATCATTCATTACTCTTCCTCCATCACAACAACAAAAATATCTTTGTTATTAACAAAAATAAATCATACCAAGCCTAGAAATATTCTGTGAATGCTTATATTCATCTTTCAGTTCATAAGGTCCTTTCCATGGCGACCATACTCCATAAAATAATAACCACTCTAAATTCATCTTCAAACCATTGGGTAAATATGGCATTGAACCAATGAAAGGCAAATTAATAACAGGCGGCAGTATTTCTTTGTTTACAAGAGCAATAAAATAGTTCTGAAATAAAATATCAAAATATGAAAATAGCGTTCTTTTCTAAGAAGTTTAAAAAGATGTACATATATTTAAGCTTCACATTTAGTCAGAATGCAAAACTATCTTAAATAATGAGTAATACTATAATGAGAAACATAAAACGAGAAAAAGCCACGAGCCTTATGTCTCAAAATGCGTTGATAAAGATCCAGAGCAGTGATACCATCTTTATTTAAAATCAAATGTATAGAAGGTTGTTTTTCACAAATACGTTGAACCACTTCTGACCATTTAAGATTTGTCAGAAAATCATCGTTTATTCCTGAACAATACTTTAAATATTTTTCCAACACAAAATATTTAAAAGAAGTAAAACAGTAAGTAAAATAACTTACATACAATTTAGATAACCTAATTTCACGTCATTACTTTCTGTAAAGCGTCCTCTAAGAAGCTACACACGAATTTCAGTATGCTTGCAATTATATTCGATTATAAACAAAAATTTTGGTGAAAGTTAATTTAAAACAAAGTAAGATTACATGCTGATTAAATCAAAATTTAAAAACAAAAGTAGCTGAGTGAGAAGTTGCAAAATTACCCAATGCCGAGTAATAAAATTTCCGTATTTCACCAAACTGATGAATTTGATAACAAACACGAGCAGCTCGAAATATCCAGAACAAAACAGCGAAAATCAATAAACATAAAGTAAAAACGTCTATACGATTCCAATCCGAATAAATTACATCCTAAATACAAAAAAATATAGGCAATCTTCTCTTCATAACTTAAATGTCTTCAGAAAAATCTTTTCATGGAGTAAACAATCTGAAAAGATCGACCTATAACCTTAATTTGAATATTTCTGAATAAAATAACTGTGATAACATAAATATGGTATAACTATAGAATATTAGGGAAAAGAAAGGATATGAAACTTCAGTTACAAACAATCCTTTACTAAAAAATGCCTAACTTTAAATTTTACTACCATCAACTAGACTAACTTTAAATAAGTTTAATGATTAATAATTGAAATGGACTTGCATATCTTTTAACGATTTTTGTTTCAAAAAAAATGAGCAGAATATTATTAAAGATTAAACGAAACCTACATTAAAACGAATTTTGTCCTTAACTGGCTTTTCGTCTGCAGTAACATTCTTATTTCTGAATAGGACATCATAGTCCACTCGTGTCAGCAAAAAAGCAACAAACCAAACGACAAATATAAATTGCAGCAAAGTTAAAATATGTTTGATAACTATACAGAGATATCCACCATTCTGATGATATTCATATACTCGAGTAAAAAACTGCAATGAAAGAGACTGTTTTTCAGTAAACTATTTCAGACATTTTGTAAATCGTACTGAATAGTTCTCTTACATTTCAATCTTGATTTTCAAACTACAAATTCATAAACTGTCTACTACATAGATAATTCTGAACTCTAGAACTAAATATTAAGTAACTATTGACACTATCCTGAAAACATAATATAAAAGCTCAGATATTAAATTTCAAAAATCAGTCAACTCAACTAATCAAAGACAAATTATTAACATTAAAATTGATGGAAAGATGATTTGAATACTTCCATTCACCAATTGCTGCAAGTAAATAACAAAAAATAGCTCCTTTTACAATTTTGTTGGTGTCATCTACTCATTGCAAACCATGTTTTACTGATAAGTCAAAATAACGCAGTTGATTTTGATTTCTAGTGTCGATCTTGGACATTTCGTGCTTAAAATAACAATAAACCTCATCCAGCTATCGGTAAAAATTGCACATAACTACAACGATACCTGATCTAAATTCTCAACTCTATCCCATAATATACTGGAACTTGTTGCAGCATGACAGGCAACAGTTTGATCTTCATCGCTTGTTGCAATTCCATGCTCCAGTGGCGGGCTACCGTAAACATCAGAAGGTACATAAGCTCTTAAAAAAAGGAAGGAAGTTTGCAATTTCATGAAGATGTAATTAAAGTCATACTGATTGACTTTGCTTTCAGAATCAAGACTATAACACTTGATATTTTCATGAAAGAGTGTCGAATTTGGCCTAATAAATGAACGCACTGGACCATAATTAACGAAATATTCTCTGCTTTTTAGACAAATCTTTTTTTGCGCATCTCATTAATGCAACTTGAAGTTGCTCCCATTAAAAATATGCATTTTTCCTTTATTAAAACTTTCTGAAGATTTCTTGATAAAAAGAGTTTTAACCTGTCTATTAAGTATGGACAAAATTTTCTCGAAAAAGTATAACTTCCATACATACTTTGCATTATCAAAAAATGGCTAAAAATAAAAAGTTCTGCAAATATATTATTCATAACACTAAGCTTAATGAGTAAAAATCACTAACGTGGTTGCCTGCTCAGAAATTGGCAGAAACTGATCAGTATCATATGTTTGAGAATGAGATGCTTCTTCATCAATATTTAGGTAACCTGTTTTAGAACGGAAGCCAAACATTTACGATAACATTGGCCTGAAAGATTTCTTCTACAAATAAATAAATAGAATACATTTCATATTATAATCATTTTTCAACTTACTCTCACCAAAAAAAAATAACAGTGTATGATGAAAGAAGTAAGTTTCACACATCTAAGACTTAATTTATGCATTTAATACAAAAAGATCATAGCAATTTGAAGCAAAATTTATTACTTTATAATATTGTATAAATAACTTCCACACAACAACGTGTGGTACTATTTCGCAGTAAATAAGGATAGAATTTTAGTGAGGAAGAATATGCTGAAATAACTGAATACTTGTATGTTGTGATATAGATAAACACACTAAGGTCAAAGGTTAAGAAGAAGCAGAGGAAGATCTTAGGTAATTGGAAGATCTAACATTCAAATGGTAGAAAAACTAGGTCAAGGTCAACACTCAAATAATATTGCGGAACAGGTAGAGAAAATGATAAAATAAACCATATTGTAAAAAAGATAAAATAGTAAGATAAGGTCAGCAGTATCACACAATTTCAGTTTATTTTCTCTAGATAAAAAAAGATTAACGGAATTACTTAAGTGAAATTTTACACGTAAAACAGTACGTAAAACGAAACCTTCACACAAGGGAAAAAAATTAGCACAAAGAACGAAGAAGAGCCGAGTACTTTTCTGTTCTCGTGAGCTTCACATGATAATTGCTATAGGCGCTGTGCAACATCACATCCTACAAAGATCCAAACTGAAAAATTGCTAGGTATTCTTTTAAAGTATACTTCTTAATTATTAATTTAATGACTTACTCAAAATTCCTTAAAAAATTTTAATTGAAAAACCAAATTTCATTAAAAATTAATATTTAAGTTTTTTTAATTATGTATCTATCAAACTTTAATCTATAGTTATTTAACTTTAATCTATTGTTGTTTACTCATTAAAAGACTTATAATTATTATTTCTTGACTTGAATTTTTTCATTTCAAAACAATATCAGTAATAAAATAATGATTAAATCATTTATTATGTAATAAAATATTATCATTCGAAAATTTTTACTTTTTTTTGTCTAATAACACTCAAAAAATTATTAAGTTTAATCTTTATTTCTAATTTTAAATTTTTCTTGCTATTCTAAAATTCTTTCAATAAAATTTTGAAAAATAAAATGAAAAGTTGCTATTTTTAAAAATAGCCCTCGTAATTTTATCAGTAAACATTTATACCTATTTGAATTGGAGTAGTTCTTATCAGAAATATTAGCGAAAAAAATTTGCACGCTCTTTTAAAAAGCATATTATTATTGCTGATCATTCTTGTTTACACGTATTAAATTTTTAGTGATAAGAAATATTGCATAAAAAGTTTAAGATTATTTACACGTACTTTTTTATCTCTATAATAACTGAGTTTTATATTATCAAATTAATAACATCTTAATCTTTTAGCATAAACGGTTTTTTAGTTTTTAAGTTTTAAAAAGTAATACTTTTCTAAATATTTTATAACATAATAAATTGAATAATTTTTGAATTTTCCGATTTTTGAAAAAACAAAAAACTTTTCATATAAAATTTATTCAATGTTTTTGAAATATGAACTTCTGAATCTAACATTTTACAGAATATTTCAAATTTTGAACTAAATCTTCGATAACAATGTAATGCTGATATAGCTCAGTAAGATATGCAAAATGGTGGCTAAAATAATCAAATCATAAGAGAAAAATTTGCATAGAACTCAATAAAAGCTATGTCATAACTGAGGCCTATTAAATTTGTATTAATTCAGTTAGACTTTGCTTTTATTTACTTGCGAAAAACGATGCGAAATTACGAATTTTCGTACATGCTAATTCCTCGCATATATATATTTGAAAATATGTCATTTTTCGAATATGAATGAAATGGATAAATCAAGGTGTAAAATGCAAAATTGTAGTGAAATGAGTTCGAATTGATATTTATCTAAGTAATTTACATTTATCTAGTTCCATTACTTTTTGAAGACCTTTGACCTCTTGAATTTTTTAATTTTTACTGTGTATATATTT